CCCCCTGCATCCCATTCCCCCCCACACCCGCTGCATCCCATCCCCCTGTACCCCATTCCCCCTGCCCCACCACTGCAGAAGCTGCAGAAGAAGGGTTCAATCAAGGTGGGGACCCCATATGCCCTGCCCCCCTCCCCCCTCCCGCTGATACAGGAATGCATGGCCTTAGGGGATATTTGATGCAAATTATTTAATAAGGCAATTTGCATATTTGTAAAAACTGTGCCCTGCCCGCACTCAGCCCTGCCTCCCTCCCCTTGGGCCCTGTTCTCAGCCTCCCTTCCCCCAGCCTCCCCTTTTCACCCACCCGAAACTTGGTGCCCACAGCACCCCCAGTGGCAGCTGTTGGGATTGCAGCTGGTGGGGCGAGGGGATGGGCTGGGCAGCCCTTGGGGTGAGAGCAGGCCCCCCGCTCCCCTCCCAGGTCTGTTTCTGCCCGGCCTGGCTCCCATCACTGCCCTCTCTCCAGACCAGGTCTTCGGCTGCCGGCTGGACGCCCTGTGCCAGCGGGAGAAGGACATGGTGCCCCGCTTCGTTCGGCTCTGCGTGGAGGCCGTGGAAAAGAGAGGTCGGAGCCCCGCGGGCAGGTGCCCGGTGTGCCAGCCCCCCCCCCCAGCGTAGAGCCCCTCCCTCCCTGGGGCCATGCCTGCCATTTGGGGGTGTCTTTCTGCAGGGGCCCCCCATACGGGGGCATCCCAGAGCCCCTCGCGCCCCAGCCCATGTTCCGCCCGTGCCCAGCCAGCGCCACCGGCACCCAGGGAGGGGGAAGAGACCTCGGACAGGGGGCAGATGTGCTCCCTGTGGGACCTCCGAGCGGGGCTTGGGAGGTGGGCAGGGGCACCTCCGAGCGGAGGGGGGGGGCAGGGAGACATATGGGGCTCTGAGCAGGGCGGGGGACACATGGAGCTCTGAGCAGGGTCTGAGGGGTGGGCGGGGGTGGGACACGGAGCTCTGAGCAGGGGCAGGGAGCAGGTGGGGGGCACACGGGGTTCTGCAGGAGAGGGGCAGGGGTCATAACTGCCCCGAGCAGGGTCTCACCCCTCCCTCCCCCACCCCTGCAGGCCTGGACGCGGACGGGATCTACCGGGTGAGCGGGAACCTGGCCGTAATCCAGAAGCTGCGCTTTGCCGTCGACCGGGGTGAGCGTCTGCGCCCGGGGGGCGAGAGGGGGCCCTTGGCCTTTGCCCCGGGGCTGCAGTGGCCCCACCCAGCCGGCTTCCCCATAACCCCCAGCCAGGGCAGGGCCGTGACTGGGTGTGTTGTTTTGCAGAGCGGGCAGTGACCTCGGACGGGCGCTACGTCTTCCCGGAGCAGCCGTGCCAAGGTAGAGCCGTGCCGGGCGGGCACCGCGCGCGCGTCCCCTCCCCCTGCGCTGGGCCCGCGGCTGGGCCTGTGCGTGGAGCCCCGCGGGGTGCCTAGCGTCGCCGGCGGGGCGCGCTGCACTTGGGGGGCACGGGGGTCTTGGACACGGGGGTGCCCGGCATCACCAGCGGGGCGCGCTGCGCTTGGGGGGCGCGGAGGTGTTGGACGCGGGGGTTCCTGGCATCATCCGCGGGGCGCGCTGCGCTTGGGGGGCACGGGGGTGTTGGACGTGGGGGTGCCTGGCATCGCCCGCGGGGCACGCTGCGCTTGGGGGGCGCAGGGGTGTTCGACATGGGGATGCCCGTGGCTGGGAGGGCACTGGGTGAGGGGGACCTGGGGGTGCAGTGGGTGAGGGGGGTGCAGTGGCTCCCGTAGTCCACACCCTGGGCGCACGCTGCCCATGGGGCTGGCTCTGTCACTCCAGCGCGGCCGGGCCGGCCCTCCCCCCACGTGGTGCCTCCTGCGCTCCCCATGCTGCCCCCCCCGGGGCTGACCCGCCTGTGTCTCCCAGAGGAGCGGCTGAGCCTGGCTGACCCCGAGTGGGACGACGTCCACGTGGTGACCGGCGCCCTCAAGCTCTTCTTCCGCGAGCTGCCCGAGCCCCTGGTGCCCTTCGCCCTCTTCGACGCCTTCGTGGGTGCCGTCAGTAAGGACCCGCCCCCCCCCCACAGCGCCCCTCCGCAGGGCCTCCCCTGTACCCAGCCCCCACCCCCACAGGGCCTCTCTGGGGCCCAGCCCCTCCCTCCCCAGGGCCTATCCAGTGCCCAGCCCCCGACCATGGGGTCTCCCCTGTGCCCTGCGCCCCCATCCCAGGCAAGGGCAGGGGAGGCGGGTGCTGGCTGATGCCCTGTGTGCCTCCACCCCCCCTTGTGGGCCCCCCAACCCCCAGGGGCCCAGGCGACCTTGCGCGGCTAGTTCCCACAGACTCCTGGGGGTGGGGGGCAGCCCTGGGGCCCCCGGCCCCCCATCTCGTCCAGTTGCAGAGCCGCATCCTTCTCCCCACAGAGCTGCCGGCCTACGGCGAGCGGGTGCAGCGCCTGGCCGAGCTGGTGCAGAGCCTGCCCCCTCCCAACTACACCACCCTGCGCTACATCCTGGCCCACCTCCGCAAGTAAGGGGGGGCTGGGAAATCCGGGGGGGGGGAACAGAGCCAGGGGCTGGGGCCCCGGCGGACATGGGGGGCTGCAGGTCGGGATTAAGGGGCCCTGGGAGACATGGGGCTTGCGGGTAAGGATTCAGGGGCCTCAGTGGTTGTGGATGGCTGCGGGTTGGGTTTTGGGGGACACCAGTGGACATGGGGGGCTGCAGGTCAGAATTGAGGGGTACCAGTGTCTGGGGGGCTGCAGGTAGGGTTTGGGGGGCCCCGGTGTCCGTGGGGGGTTGCGGGTTGGGATTGAGGGGTACCAGTGTCTGGGGGGCTGCAGGTAGGGTTTGGGGGGCCCCGGTGTCCGTGGGGGGTTGCGGGTTGGGATTGAGGG